AGAACAACACTTAAACGACCACTGACCAAGTTGTGCTTATTAGAAGGAGTAAATGATGAATAAGGATGAACTTTAAAGAACATTGTACGAACCTGAACGAACATTTATGAACTTATGAATTTTATGAAGCCTCGTTTAGCCGAGGGTTCATGGGGGGCGGAATGTTATAAATTAAATCCGCGTTGCCCATAGCAACGCGTCTCCTAAGGGTATTTTGCATTCTAGCGCTATATTTAAAATTCAGTTTGAGCTAACGGTAGACAGGAACAGAAGAATTCGGATTTGGAAACGAAAACCCGGAGATTGACGCTAGTGTAAGTAGTTTTTTTCTAAGAGTTTTTTCATCCTGTGAGCGAATATCTTATCAGGATATTTCGGTTTTTCCTTTTACAGCGAATAATTCTGTAAATCACACCGATTGATCCTCGAAGTGTCAGGAAGTGAAAGAGGCGAGCCGATTTCGACGCGTGAATGCTAATTAACTTGAACTGTTAGAATACTGAGACACTGAGAATTAAATAATGAATTTTGAAGAACAGCGAAAAGATGACAACAATAATATTTAGTGATGTTCACGGGAAGATGCCGGGAAAAAACTTTATCACAGGGCACTGCTTAGGTAGACTTTCCAAGAATCCTTCGTCCTTGTAGCAAGTCTATTGTCCAGTAATTGTAACGTAGTTGTTGTGAGCGTTTGGTACATAAGGGGACCTTGCAAACCATTTTGAGCTAGGGGGCTAATGCTGATGTAAATTAAGAAGATCTGTTTCAGCCGCGAAGGGCCAATTCAGCCCTGCAGGCCAAAGTCTGATTCAGTCCCTCCTGAAGCCATTTGAGGAAAATTTAAGCCATAAAAACCCCATCAAAAGGCTATATTCCAGTCCACACGGGGCCCATTTCAGCCCTTGGGTCCAAATCAACTGTAGTTGATTGAACTGATGTATTGGCTCTGATTAGGGGAACCAAATTAGACTCAAAAATAGGACTGTATCTTACTCACCAAAACGGCCCAATTTTTAGGCTAAAACAGATCTTTCTGATTTACGGTGTATAACGCTTGATTCCAAAGGCTTATAAGGGCCGCAGGTGGATTCTATTCACCGAATACGGAGACCAAGAGGCACAAGAAGGTTGATGCACGTGCAGGGTTGTTGTTTCGCTTGAAACTTATTGCTTTTTGCCTGTTCTTGTTGCCGTCGCCGTACCAATAGTTTTTGCGTCGCCTAGAAAATCGTACCGGATTTGGTGATTTCGGCGAGATTTCCGTGACGCAGTAAAGGTGCTCATCGCCGATCTCGAAAATGGAATGTCGCATAACGGATAGGTTTTGTGCCATACTTTGGTGCAATGTGAACACCCGTTCAGGCTGTCGCTGAAGCAAATAAGAAGGAGCGAGGACTGGAACCCACTTAGAAGGAAGTAAATACTCTATTCAGGAGTGAGGACTGCAATTTGTTCTTGCACCAAACACTCTGGGCTAGCCGCGCCGGCACGATGTTCGATGTGTGTGAACGACCTTTTCTGCCCCGGGCCGTTGCAGCTAACACTATACTGGATAGTAGTTTCGTGTCGGCACGAAAAGCTAACTGGTATGTTTGTAAACTTAGTCTGAAACACCCTAAAGTATGCCTGACGGTGAATGCGTCAGGTGCAAAAAATGGCAGGGAAATAGCTATATAAGGGTCGAAGGACGTTAAACAGCTGCATAAGCTTGTTGACTGAGTGAATTTTAATGGTCATCTTCAAGTACGCAGACAGACTGACTCTCTCACGCCGAGAGATTTCAATTCTAGATCACGTCCTCGTGCTTTCTAAACGGAAAAATGAATCAGAAATCTAATACTGAATAAACATCAAAAGCAGATGGTGGATTAGAATTAGCCGTAATATTGGTTTATAACTGGCATTGGCAAGAGCTCTCTCTTGGCATTGGTATTTACTAAGAAAGTGAATACTTTTTTCACATGCTTTGATTGGCTAGCTTGAAGGCTTAAACATTTGCTATTCACCTCAGCTTCGATATATAGCTGTAATTAATTATTTACTCTACAACAACAACAACAACAAGTTTATTTCAAATTAAATATAGCTTACAAAGCTTGTGCCCGCAATTAGCGAAGGCTATTCGAGGCGGGTACAAGAGAAAAAAGAAATTTCTATAAATATATATATATATTATATATACTAAACGAACAATCCTAGAAGCAATCTAGTTTGTCGCGTGGTTTATAGCCAGAGTGAGACAGGAAGGTAGACTGTACTTCATGCGGAAGTACACCATGCTACGATTTTGAGAATTGCCCCGTAATATCGGAAACTCGAGGAAACTCTAATATGGTCGTCCTCTTTTTCCAGTATTTCAAAGAGTTTCCTCTTTAGTTCGCTTTTGAATTGATTTTTTTTAAGTGTTTTGATAGAAAAAAATTTAATTTGGTACTAACCCTTGACCGCTAGCAGGAAAAAAGCCGTTTTGGCTTAGTTGCCGACAGTATACCAAGGCTCTACCAAACATTGCCCATAGATGCTCGTCACAAAATACGTGATTCACTGACGATTTCACATCATAATTTTAATTTTCCATTTCTCCAAGCTTAAGTAGCCACTGCTAACAAGCACCATTAACTGCTCCAAAAAATCAAAACGTAAGCTTACATAAATTTATACAATCAGAATTTAAAAGGGAATTATTAGGGCTTGCATCTACGCCTAAAAGTTCGAATGATCCCGTATATGCAAGTACTTCCTCTCCATTATGTGTTTCATCACTTCTGCTACGAAAACAGTTAGCATAAATAACCGAAAAAAGTGCAGAAACCACAGAAGGAGTAAATCAAGTACATTTTCCTTTCATATAGGAGAACAGCTCCCGAACTAAAAGCCGCCATATTGAAATGAGACCTAGAATCGGGTAAACAACTAACCCTCACCTTTGTGAAGAAAAATCCTTGACGCTGCAAATATCTTGTTCGTAGAATTTGACTGATATGACGATGTCTTATGGAATAAGTTGAAACAAGGATACTCATTGCAGAAAGTTAAAACTGGGGAGTACCTTGTATCTATTTCTGTTTACGTATGGCTGACGCTGTTAAAAAAATCCCTTGCTCAGGAAGGTGCCCCGGGAGAAGTGAAACAACTTTAACCCTGATACGTGTTGCAGCCAACGGATTGAAAACTCTAGTCTTTATGATTATTAACTTTACCATCAGTTTAGTATGTAATTCGGTGTGTATTGTATATGAACTAAGCTTATACTGAGCTGCGAGAAACAGTTTTCTGAGTTTTTCCATGAACTTAAATTTTTTACTTGCAGTTCAGGTCTGAACGTGCCAAAAGGCGTGCTATCCGGGACTTTTACTGTGACGTCAACCCCCGCGCCGCTAAGCAGACTGGGGAACAAAGAGGAAGTGCTAGCCACAAGACAATAACCTCTTCACCGCTCTATTTTTATACTGTTATGTCAGTGATTTATTGAATAAACTTAGGTGGCAAAAATTTTAACCGTTGAGTGGTGCCGGATCCCTCAGTTCTGGGGTACTTTCTGTGTAGCGGGTGTTCTCCCACCACGTCAAACTTCATGTTTATGCACAAGATTTCCATCCGGAGGAATTGACTGGCTTGTGTGCAAAATATATAAACGGTAAACTGATCGTGACGAAAAGCGATGAGCAAGTAAACAAAATTGTAAAAAAATACAAAAAACAAAAAGAGGTTAAAAAAAATTCAATCAATTAAAAAAATACAAAATAATGAATGAGCAAATTTGTTGAAATATTTTTTGTTTTACTATTTTGTTTACTTACATCGCTTACCCGTCTGGATCAGTTTGCTGGGTATATACTTTGTAAATTAAAAGGACAAATACAGAAAGCCATAATGTTTCGACAATGTAGCATTACTTTATCTCATTTTTATTCATTTTTTTTTCAGTTTCGCCACTCAGATCTTCTTACATTAATTAAAGGTTACAAAAGACATCTAGTAACAGGAAGAGCTATGCAAACTTGTCAAAGCTTTTCTAAGAGGATCTGTCTTCCTCCAATAAATTATATTAAAATTACATTAATGAAGGTGGCTTTCATTGATATGTAGCAATGTCAAATATTACTAATTCTAGTCGGATATAAATTGGTAGTGAGAAGATTGGGGGTGAGAGTGTAGACTGGTGGTGGGGGGAAAGTGGGGGGGGGGGAGCAAAAAATTTCACGATGTTTATCGGTTGCTGTCTGTGTTTTATTTTTCGATTGGGAAATTTTTCGATTCTGATTTCTGTTTATGATGTTTGATTTCAGCTTTCTCGATTCTGATTTATGATTCCGATTTCCGATTTCTAGTTTCAGTTTTCTTCTAAACACCAGGAATCAATTGCCTTCGATGACGTTTTTAGTGAATTGATTCCTGAAATTCAGAAAAAGGATTGGACACAAAGCTTCTTGATCATAAGGTCCATATTATAAGGTACAACACCATTTTGTGCCAGTACCCAGGCACTGGTTCTCAGGAATCAAGTGTGGACAATTCGTTAGGCAGTACACGCTGCTGGGCGCTCAGTTATTATGTGAACATACCCTTTTTTCAAGTGGCCATGCAGAATCCGAACACGGTGCCGGTTCGACCTTGTTTTCGGGCACAAAAGTGGGAACCGGGTCCCTGCCTGCACACAGTTTTTGTTAGTTTTGAGTCCTCTACTTTTTAATCGCTGATAAGCGCATGTTTCAAAATGGCGTATGCCAGGGCAAAATGGACTAACTATGTACACAGTGGCATCGAGTACTCAAGGTGTGAACACAATACCATCTTATGCTGACTCAAGCACTGGTTTCCGGGAACAAAGGGTGGGCAGCGCTTAAGACAACTCAGCTGTAGTCCTGCTCAGCGCCATTTGAAGTCTTTTGCAGCGCTATACTTGAACAAGAGATCATTCGAAGAGCATAATATTATATGTTAATTAATTATGTTTTACTTCTTGACATTGATCTTGTTTAAGTGCAATGGACTGCTTACTTGAAGTAAATTAGAACAAACCAATAAAATAAATTGAATAATCCGAAGAGAGCCATAAATGCTATCCTTGCCGCAAAGTCAACACCTGTCGAATCGATCTTATCATTCTCTTGCACCGAAGATCCTTCGTTCTTTTTTACGTCATTCAATTCGATTTGCGACCTCTTCCCTTCTTCAACAGAACACAACCCTCCTTGGTGGAGACTGGACTCACTCGTCAAATCGCATGATTCTCGATGGAGGTCGACTTTCCTGAAGAATGGTGCTTTGATCCGCAATAAGCCTTTCTATGAAAAAAATAACAAACACGAAAATGCAGACAAATCAGTTTTACTTGTAATACCAATAACCCTTTGTCACATTCTTGTGAGACAGGGATTGAAAGCCCTAGCAAACATTTGCTTAAGCTATGTCGATAGCAATTTCACCAAAAAGTGACTAAAAAGAAAAATCTTGCAGGAATTTTAGAAGAGAAGAAGTTAGTAGCAAAAATATAAGAAAACAAATAGAATAAGCAAAAAAATTAAAGTTATGACAAGGATTCTGGTTGTAAAGTCATATTACCAAAAAGCACAAATATAGCAATCTGATAAATAACAAAAACAGTATGAAAAGAAAGCAAATGCTGCAAAAGTAAATTTTATCGGCAACTGCAAATAGATGTTGCCCAAATCCCCAAAATAGCAAGAATAACTGGAAATTTGCAAAGAAAATGAAAGACATGGAAGGCCCTTGACGTACCGCAAATCTATCATCCGACAAATATAGAAAAAATGACAAGCCTTTTTATCTCGAAGTAAAATTACTGATATATATTGTTAACAAACAATGCAGATTTAGTAAGAATAACCTGCAGATTTGGTTTAAAAAATGAAAGGCAAAAAGTTCCTTTACATGCCGCTAATTTAGCAAAAATAGTTAAAAAAGTGAAACGAAGGATATAATCTGTAAAGTCTAATATTGTGGTCACTATACTAAAGCAAGAATAACAAAGTTTTAGAAAAGAGGGATTTAACAAGGATATCGATCATGATCTGCATCACCTGCATTTAACGTGAAGAAAACAAGAATAGGTTGAACTAGAGTAGAAAATTTAGGAAAGAAAAAGGCAGGCAAAGTGAGAAAGGAAAAAAAGCCGCCCGGTACAAGCCTCAGCTTAGGAAATACAGCCAAAGTAACGAAGAATATGTTGCCTGCAAGGGCAACGGAAAAAAGCTGGTTAAAAAAATCGCAAATAGAGCATGGATTCTACCTTGTTCAGAGACCCTATATTTTAGATGTCGTTGAGCGCGCATATAAAAATAAAAAGCGCGGGGGATTTGTTCACCTCAAGCGCAGGGGGATGGGTGTTTTTTCTCGCGCGTCGCACTCATTCTCGCGCACTGCGCTCGCTCTTGCGCGCTGTCAAATTGTCCAAAAAAAAAAAACGGAAAAAAACAAACAACCAACAACAAAAACAAAGAAAAAGAAAGACGTCTGAGGACAAGCTACATGAATAATGGCAATTTTAGCAATTTTTTCATCTTTTTGTTTTACTGGACGGTAAAGGCGCACTTTTCCGCCTCAGATCATATAGAAAGGCCATCTATAAAACTGAGCGTCGTTTAACTCCTCAGATGTTATGCAAGGCGAGAGGCAAAGAACATATTTCGTGAATACAGGGTTTTTAGGCGGATATTTTCTCAAAACTGCTTCCTGCTTAATTTTTCATTTCTCGGTTGATAATCCTCTCAGTTTGGCAGTTGCAGAGAAATACCTTGTTAGTTGCGTTTGCTAAGTTTGCTTGATTTGCGACTTGGTCTCTTGCTCTTCCGTACCATCTCTACCATTTTTGTCAAAAAGTCTTGGCAGATAAGCTCCTTGTTTCAGTAAAGCCTTTACGGAATTTTTGATTTTTCCTTGCTGCTTCTGTTATTTTGGTCATTTTTGCGTCTGCTTATAAAGACTTGTTCACGGGCGATATGACTGTGCGAGGTAAGCTACGGCAAGTCTGTTCCTAGCTCACGCATCATAAGACGCACACCGGTGGACAAGTGACTCACTCGTTTTCAGGTATTTTCCTTTAGAAACTGAGGTGGGCAAAAAAAGGTATCAAATTTTCACTATTTCAATTAAAAAGACTTTCCCCGTCTACCCTGAAGAAGGACGCTTGTCCGTTTCAAAGATCCGGAAAACTCAAGTCGCTTTTTTCTTTTAATTACTGTCTTCTTAATTAATGAGAGAAAAAAAAAATGAGAACAAGAGATTGCGCATGATGTGAATTTCAGTTGTTGCTCGTACGGTCGCAGAGTCAACAAGTACACTCTTTCGTAAGATTGCTTAGTAATACCTTCGCTCTTTCTTGGTGTATAAGGCCAATATATTCTAGCATGGTGCAGAGAACAAAGAAGAAAGATGTCATCAGATAAACATCAATGGCTTTCACGTAGGAAACTCTTGGCATGGAGGAATTGACGGCGCCCCAGATAGTTGATATGGTGAGAAGTGTCGTAATGCATAGGCTCACACGAGCGGGTGTCGCGCGACTATCAATGAACAGCGACATCCAAGCTACAAGCACCACCGCTATACAAGGTATGTAGATTTGAATCAGGTAAAAACCCATTCTTCGTTTGAATGAGAATGTCGCTTGCAGGAGTGAATACTCTCCTGAAAAAGAAGCAGAAAATAACAAAATCATCAAAGAGACCCACAATACTATTAAATAAATGATAATGATGTTGATGATGATGATCATTATAAGGAGCTGGGATTAGGACTTTCCCTATTGTGCTCGGCAACTATTGAGCAACTTTGGCATTGGGAGGAACTTTTGCGGTTCTGGAAACCTGGTGCTACTTTTGCCTTCTGAGCAATTTTTGTGCAAAATATAGGTCAAGAGCAAACAAGAAAAAAAATCAACGATGTCATAGAAAACTTCAAGTTTTGCGAATTTCTAAGGTTTTAGTATCAACTTAAACGTAAGCTTTAAAGGAAAAAAAAAAGCACATTTCGGTCAATTGTAGAAAACAAGGAAAAAAGGGCTCTCATATTGAGCTTGGGCTATCCGTGGTTATGCCCATATTTTCGAACAACTCTTAAAGGTAAGTTTCGAGATATTGTCATTGATCATTGTTAACAATTATTGGGAAGAGAGGAGAATACAGCTCTTAATTAACGTACATATTTAAAAACATCGATAAATTTAGGAGGCAACTTTTAAATTTAGGTAGCAACGGTTTGGATCTTTGTCAATTTTTTAGCAACTTTTTGACATTTCAGCAAGTAACTTTCCAGCATTTTATGAGCACAATCGGGTCGACAGGCCCAGCTGGGATTGGCATAGTTGGCTGACAGATGCCTAACACTTCGATTTCCAGGAGTGACCTCAATTCCTCGTTTCGACTTCTTTTTTTTCCGTATATATAGCTTTAAAAGTACCCCTAAAACGCAACAGAACACTGAGGGTGGGAAAGGAGTAAAATAAGCGCGCCGTCGTTACTCAAATGATAACTATTTCGAACTACTGCATCGTGAAGATACTTTACTTACAGCCTTACACTGATCTACTCACCTGCGACATACTGTGTTCTTCCGACAGCGCTGCTCATTTCGTTCATGTAAAACTGCGCCATTTCTTTGTCTAGTACTACGATTGAAGGTGACTTCCAGTTGAAGACCAGGTGTTGAGTTGGGTACGCATCTGAAAAGAACATCCTGAGTTTTTAATTTTACTGACAAATAAACCAACCACTGATCACAGAGTTTACATTGGAAAAACTGTTTGAATGCAGAGGTCCACGTAACGCGCAAATAAAACTGACTGGTTCCCCTTATCGGGTCTCTAATTAAAGAGATGCTGTAGCCAGACGTCACTTAGTGTGTAAAATGAAACAAAACTGAATGCAAGGCTGGCACTACGGCAAAGAACATTACATTGGTTATACGTTTTCAATAATTTCCCTTACCTTCATTGCAAATAAGCGCCAATTCCGCTATAATAAGGCCTCGGCCAAACGTCGAACGTTTCATCCTAAATTAAGTTAAGTTCGTCCGTTGGGTCGGAAGTCGAACTCTAGGACGCGTCGATTTTCTCTCGAACGCGCGGGGCTAAATATATACACCATCATACAAATTTTTTTGTATTAGTTTAGTTCGTCGCATGTAAAGATCGACGTTTGCCTCGGCGATGACCTTCAAACGGATAGAACGTGTTCGACGATCAAAACTTATTCAAACGAACTTAACTGATCCAGACGTCGAACTTAATTTTCATGAACTTAACTCACTAAGTTTGTTTCGTCTCACGAAAAGTTCGACATTTGGCCAAGGCCTAATTAACATGATACACTTGAACCCTCCTTGGTTCCATAAGGCGGGAGTCAGATTTGTTTAATCACGAGTATGATTTCAGACCGAATTTGACGACATGAAGTTCTGTTACCAATTAATCATAACTTTAACAAAATTTGTGATATATAAGGTTCTTTTTTTTAAAATCAAAACATAAGAAATTCCAAGATTTTTTTTGCAAGCAGTAAAGAAAAAAAGCCACTTAAGTGCGAGCGACATGACACGTACAGTATTAAATTGTCCTATTAAACTGAAATCAGGGCAGTTGATAACCAATCAGATTTGAGAATTTTGTTACAGTTATGATTAAGGGCTGAATCGCTCTTGCTAAGCTTTATTGATGTGGAGGTTTTATTAAAGGGTAAAAATGATTTATGTCAACCTTCAATGTTTGAAAACGACGTTTACCGTCAAGGGTTTTTTCTTCCGTCTTGGGCAATTTATCGCTGTGTAACAGCAACATGAAAGTGATCAAAACCCAGAGCCAGCCCAATCCAAGCTATTTCCCAAAGGAGAGCTTTGAGGAAAAGGTCTAGTGTAACGCACCTATTAACCGTATTCACACTAGAGTGGGATTATCCTAGCCTGAATTTCATCCGATTACTTCGAGTCGTTATTACTCCCTCAGTAACGTCGTTGTTGAGAGGAGGAAACGACTCGAAGCAATCGGATGAATTTCAGGCTAGGATTATCCGCCTGAGACGGGTTATCTGTTGGATAATTCGCGTGAGACAGATAATACGTCTTAATTTGAAAATGGAACGGTCTTAATTTTGGATAGACAATCCACCTGACTTTATCCAACTGTTTTCCCATCAATTTTGACAGATTTTGAACGTGGATTATCCGTCTGTAATGTGAAAACGGCTATTGTTGATATCTATTCTGCCTCCACACCAAAAGTGGGGAAAAAAACTTAGAAGACTTAAAAAAAGCAATAGGCAAATCAACAACTGTGCACGTGCATTGCACTTTTTTGTTCATTTCTTTGCCGTCACCGCATGACTACGGTTTTGTTGAGGACGTGAAAACAAGACAACTACTTTCTTTTTCTGAACTTCGATGGAGTGCTTTAGAATTCATCAGTAGAAAAATTTGCCAAAATTTGACGAATTTTTTTGAACGAAATGGAATAAGCTTAAGCTCCCTAGGCGGGGGGAAGGGGTGATAGGTCTCGGGCCAAAGCTACTTTCAAAGCCCACGGCCACACCTCAATGCGAGAAACAAAAGAACCCCTTGGTGTTATATATATTTGTAAAAATTACTCAAAAGCTTTCTGATGTTTAATTTCTCTTTGTTTGAAAATTACTTACAGCTAATAATGTTGATTGTACAATTTTGCTCATCCATGGGGAAAGTACGTAAATTCATGTGACATCTCGCTAGAAGAGTTGCTCTGTGATGTAAATTAGATACTGATTTAGTAGGCGTAATTATGGCTGAACCTTTTGGTCAGCGGCCGCCCTTCTCATTGTCGGCCTCCACAGTCAACCCATAATATCAACCTACCCTCAAAATGATGTTCACACCGTGATGGAAAGCTTTTCTTGGCGCCTCAAAAAGCTATCTGGTATATAGTATGAACAGGAACTGCCCCGGGGCGGTACATGGCCTTCACACATATCAGGGAGCTTTAGCATCGACGACGGCAACGGCAGCGACAACGTCAGTTTTAAAATTAATTCCCATTTTTTCAATCTTTGTCGCGTTTATTCCAATTTGCTGAAAATGGCAGGTGGAGGCGAATTTCCCTGGAGTTGATTTCTTGAGCACTCAAGTTTAGAGAGAAAAAAGAGATTCGTCGTCGCTTGTTTACGTCCTCCATAAAACTTTTAGCTTGCAATTAGGCATTTTCACGTTGTACTCGTGCAAGGACGGTGAAGAAATGTACAAAAAAGCGTGATGCAAAGTTGTTGTTTTGCGCAATAAACCTATTGCTTTTTTGACGTCCTGGTTGCCGTCGCCGTCGTCGTTGCTAAAGCTCCCTATTAAACATCGTGGCGGCGCGGCTGGCCTAAAGGGCTTGGTACATTAAATTCCAGTCTTCACTGACGAACGGACCGAATAAGTGAGCACACTGCACCAGAGTATGGAACAAAACCTATTCATTATGTCACGCTCCACTTTCGAGATCGGTGCATCGCAGCTTCGCTCTGTCACAGAAATCGCGCCGCCACAACCGATCTTGTGTGTAAACAAAATCTCTATCCGGTATGATTTCTTGGCGGTGCAAAAGCTATACAGTGTGAACAAAGACTTATTTTGTGCTTACCATATATCCTGTGCACCGTCTATTAAAGATACAGTACATAGACAAAAAAGCAAGTTTGGTTCGGCAGAACGCATGAAAGAGCTTTTTAGAAAGTAGGTTTTTCTTTTTTTTTCTTTTTTTTATCCGACTAGAGTGGGCAGAACAACCCGCATGACGATTTTTTTGTCGGCGATTTTAACAGTTTTTGTGGGAAAAATAAGGTCCAAAGATTGACAGTAAAATTCAAATTTCAACTAGATATGTAACCGAAATAATTACTTAGACACAGCATGACGAGTACAATCAAAATGTAAAAACCTTATTGGCTTTGAATTTGGCAACAAATGACGGGAAATTCAAAAATCTGGGCTCAATAATTTCATAACCATTTCACAAAATATTTAAAAAGAACTTCACAAGCGAAGACTACAAGTTGTAGGGGTGGATTTCGGCAGTGCAAATTCACATGTAGTCTAAATATATGTGACCAAACACACGTAGCCCAAGCGATGAGCAACACCAGCCTACATAGCAAATTAATTGTCCTCACCGCAAAAATTATAAGACGTGTTATGAGAAATATTCTTTGCTCTATAAATAAGCAAAGTGTGCATTGAATTTCACTTTTAGTCTTATCTTAAGCGTTTTCTTGTGTTTATTTGTATATATGCTGACTGCAGCATTTCAGGCCTCTTAGACACAGTTTAAATGTCTTTTTTGAGCACCTGTTTTTCACCCAGATGAGCGAAGAGAAGGCATTTAAACGTGCTTAAGAGGCCTGAGGCATACAAATTTCAGAGGAAAATGCTAAAAGTCTAATAGCAAATTTTAATGCACAAAGAATATTTCTCGTACAAAGTCAAATTGTTACCGTATGAATTATTAATAAGCTAAGCTGGGTATTGTTTCTCAAGGGCTCTCATAGTGAGCTTGGGCGACCTGTGGATAAAGCGAGCCCATCAGACACACCAACCTTGTTCCCCAAAGCACCTGTCCGTCTGCTGAGATATCGATCTTGTGACTGGTTGTCAGTACATTATGCATGTATGACTTGGTGGCGTCTACGAACACGGTGTCTGGGACCCAGATATAATCCGCAGGGTGTTTAGTTCCCATGGTAAGAGTTATCTTGGAAGTCAAGTTGTGAGAAAGCCTGTGGTCTTTCCAGTGCTGCCGAAAAAAAATGTCCAATCCGAATTCCTAAAAAATGAATTAAAAATAACAGGCTTTAGTTATAATATCACCCAGCTTGGAGCATCACTCAACTTAACCTGCGCTTCACACGAAACTGAACTCTAGTTAAGTCCGTTAAACAGGGTGAGATTAAGACGCAGACTATATTCACCGTTGTTGGACCTGAATGAGAGGAAGACATTTTCCCTTAAAAAATAAATCTATGGCCTATGGTAATTATTACTCGAGCTAAATCGAAGGTTTGATCGCTCAAACGTTATCAAACACCACTCAAACGACTCTCACATGTAAATGAATTTCCGCAATCCAACGCAATCGAACTTTGCTAATTTTCATCAGTTTGGATGCATGGTCACATTTGAAATTCATTTCGATTAAAAATGAAACTTATACAGGTAATAGGGGAAATTGTAACTTTAATCGGTCAGAGGAACTGGGATAAATTATACAAATCTCAGCCATCAAACAATTTACATGGTGGGAGACGGGAGACAGGGCGAAGAGAATTGGCCCTTCCTCAGTTTTTTTTTAAAGTTTTGATAAGGACTAGTTAGTAGAAATCTGTCGAGACTGCTGGAAAGAACGGCATGAAATAAGTAAATTTGCCAGTTTTAAAAGTAATGCGACTAAAGGATCTATAGCCCAGCAAATTCGCGAAATCATTATTTATTATAAACGTTCGTATGATGGGGGGCAAATTTTTGCCCTCACCTCACAAACGTCTGCTGGAAAATTTTGCGACTTGGCAGAGCAATATCTTCAGCCTCCATAAATCACTCTGAGAACCTTGGCAATTTTACTAATGCTATGGCTCTATTGGTACAATGTAGACCAAAAGGATCTGGATAAAAATGAGCGAGGGAGGGGGGGAGGGGTATTTAACACGCGGTCCGTCACGGAAATAGAAATAAAAATGCTAGAAATCAGGAGAAGGTAGAGGACGATTGACTGTCTAATTTAGTCAACATTAACAGAACAATAGGGCCATTTATACGAGGAAAGATAAGACGCGAACTGTACCATTTATACGAGCATGTCTTATCTTCTAAGCCGCGTCTTATTTTAGACGAAATGTGCCGTTTATACGGAAAGTTCGCGTCTTATTTAAGACGCGTCTTATTTTTCCTCGTATTAATGGCCCTAATGACGATAACCACAAGAAATGAAAGCGATAATAATGTATTACCATATCCACTTCCTTGATGTTGGAAAACGATGCAACCGAAATACCAACTAGGATTTCAACTGGATTTCCTTTAGAAAGAAAAGAAAAAGGGGAAAAAACAGTATATTACTACGCTCTCAGTCTTTCCAAACTAGAGTTAAATAGCTAAACATCGAATTTTGATAAAAATTACTTCCGGATAGATAAAAAGTTTTTTCCATTAACTTTATATCCGAGGGAAAATATAATGTTTTTTGTTGTGTTGATGTGGCATTCATTAAGTTGTTCTTGGTATATTTATTTATTTCAGTTTAGCTTTATAAACTTCCCACAAAAAAATGTGAAAAAAAAAAATGTAACAAACGAACAAAACCAGCGTGGATCTCGTAGTCAAGTGTATAATTATGTACTACCTTATACCTGAGTAGTTTGGCCTAATTCGAGAATCATATCCACGAAGAAGATCTTTCAGTCCCTCGCTTAACTTCTGATCCTGTAAAAAATCTGTTTTGCTGAAATGTAGAATGACAATCAACAATATTAAGATTAATTTATTTGCATACCGAAGTGTTCATAACGATAAATCGAAGTGACTCTAAAAGTGCAACATATCACTCTTGCTGCCTGATCTAAATGGGAGCTTTATCATCGACAACGGGGACGGCAGCGAAAATGTCACTTTTAAAATGAGTTCGCATTTTTTCAAACATTAACGCGCATATTCCAGTTCGCTGAAAATGCCAAATGTAGGCTTTGATTTCTTGGGGACCGCGCTTAAGTTTAGAAAGAGAAGGAAAAATTCTTCGTCGCTTGTTTTAGACCCTGTTTACATGGAGTGGGGGGCCCCGGTCTAGTGGGGTAAGTTTCTTTTGTTTTGTGTCCCCCAGAGCGTGAAAACAAAAGAAACCAACCCCACTTGACCGGGGTCCCCCACTCCATGTAAACAGGCCCTAAGTCCTCCATGAAAGCGTGAAATTAGGCATTTTCACGTCGTAGTCGTTCAGGGACGGAAAAGAAATGTACAAAAAAAGTGCAATGCACGTGCAAAGTTGTTGTTTTGCGTAACAAACCCATCACCATGGTGATCGCTTTTTTAAAGTCTTCATTGCCTTCGCCAGTGTTTTTGCTAAAGCTTCCTCATGCGAACAACGCCAGCGAAGGCAGCTAAGACGTCACCGTTGTGAATGAATTTCCGTTTTTTCATCTTTGCCGTGATCATTCCGACTCAAATGCCAAATGTTGGTAATTTTCCATGGAGTTGAATTCATAATTCACGGAGACCACACCCAATTTATGAAACAGAAAAAAATCCTCGTCTCTTTTGAGGAAATTTCACGCGTCGTAGTCGTGCTGCGATGCGACGGCAAGGAAATGTACCAAAAAGCTGTGATGCACTTGCAGAGCTGTTGTTTTTCTTAATAAACATGTCTCTTCTTACCCGACGCCGTCGTTGCTAAAGCTAACTTATTTATGGTTACTCAAAGAATGACTCGATCTATTAATTGATTTATTAAAAATTAATTTTAATTTTTACTTCTCTCTGCCCGTCGAAAAAGTTTAAAATGCGTCTTAACCGTTTTTTTTTAAATCTGTGTACACGGGCACATAAAAGAATTTATTGATTTATTGATTTGCCATGTTATGGCTTGCTTGCCATTAACTGGCTTCTCGATCCTTAAGGCTTAGGACATCTGTCTGACAGTCCCCAAGTTCCACACTTCTCGGGTACAATCTTTAATACTTTGTAATACGGTTATCTTTGTTGTAGTCAGTTAAGCTGATCTGGGGTCAATTTAATAAAACTTTTACAGGTGTAATTTACAAGTGTAGCTATTGTTTTCAGAGTTTGAAACAATGGCTACAATTGTAAACTACACTTGTAAAATTTATTAAGTTCACCCTTGGGTATACATTGTAACGCGTCATTCTGGCCACTAAGTCAAATTTTATAGCTTTGTGTTTAATTTATGCATAAGATTTCCACCTGGGTGGTTTTTGTTAGTGGTAACCACCCTTTATTCTAGAATCTAGAATTTCACGATATGCAAAAAACACCTGCAGTTATCGATAATTGGGGGCGGAGGGGGGGGGGGGGGGGGGAGGGGGGGGCGGGTTGGGGGAGGGGGGGGCTTGGCAGCGGGAAGGGCCGGCATTTGATTTTTTGACAACTTTGTGTCAGAATGTCCGAAACGAGGGACTGGAAAAGTGAGTCAATATCAGTGCCCGCCCGCTGCTGCTCGATGAGAAAATGTCAGAGTGTCAAGCACATCTGTATTTTGGTCAAATTCCCGACCCTGGGGATGGGAAAATAGTGCAAATGTGATAACCTATCCTTCTCTGGGCTTAACAAAATTTCAGTTTGGGGCAAAATTTGTGGTCATAATCCCCTGAGAGGGGACAACTTGAAAACATTATAGCTTATAAACAAAATTAAAGCGTGGAATGTAATTAACCATAATTACCATAATGACATATCTTGCTTGGAACTCGTGCTTTAGTCGGGACACCTTTTGGAAGTCTCAAAATTTGACTTTTCCGACAATTTTATATCCAAGAATTCAGCGCAGATACAAAACTACACGCCTGGAACTGCAGAGGAGTAAACTTGGTAGACTGTAGTGTGTCATGTATAGAGCGACCATTTATTTATAAAATCATCGAGTGTTGTCTTCTAAGGACTTTCAGTAAACTTGGACACAAAATTATGATTTCTCAATTTGGTACAACCGTGGCTCAAAGCATTACCGTAAAGCGCGATCTGCCAGATGAAAAACAACCCTCCTAAACTTTCTTCATTCGTCAATGTCTCTGTAAAATTTTATCTAAATCGCCTCCAGAACAGCCGAGATTAAAAAGCGTTTTAAAACATGTAGCACAAGCAAAATTTTGCCTTATGAATTTATTCATAGATAGGTGTGCCCCGCGGCCTTAAGAACTCGTTTTAGAAATGTTCGTGCGTTTCAGATGGAATTGGAATTTGAAAATTTCGGTTTTTGAGAAGAGGGGAAAACCGGAGTACCGGAAAACCGGAGAAAAATCTCTCGGAGAAAAGTAGAGACCCAAAAATATAAACCAACAGTCATTACTAGCTCTTCATCAGCTTTTTCACGTGCTGGCGGAGCCCATGCAGTCACCGATGCCTCAAGACTCAAGACGACCACCTTTCTGCAATCGCAAGCAACGGTCTCTAGCTTGCATCCCGACACATGTCCCGAAGCAACTGCCAAAAAACCTCTTTAGGAAGGCCATTTGCACGACGTGCATCTGATGTACTCGCAAAACGTTTTTTAATTTGTTTTGATAACATTTTTAATTTGTTCTGAGAACGTTCTATTTTATTGACATATTTTAATCTATTTACCCTCTTTCTCAAAATTGGTGTTCATTTACACCAATAATCGCCAATAAATGTAACCTCCCCACAACGCTCAGTGTTCTTCTTCATCAAGCACATTTTTAAATGAATGAAGCAACGCTAACGTTTTCGACGATGTGAACGATGTAAATGGATGATCACTTTTACACTCAAAGAAAACAGCAACACAAAGGAGTTGTTTAGAACTTACCTGTGACAAATGCAGTACTCCAATACGATTAAGATTCCAAGAACTAATCTCATCGCTCGAGCAAGACTTGTTCCTCCCATGTTAACGCAAGTCATGTTTCTTGTTTTACGGTCGCTAAAACAGAAACAAATTGAAGTAAACTTGGACACAAAATTATGATTTCTCAATTTGGTACAACCGTGGCTCAAAGCATTACCGTAAAGCGCGATCTGCCAGATGAAAAACAACCCTCCTAAACTTTCTTCATTCCTCAATGTCTCTGTAAAATTTTATCTAAATCGCCTCCAGAACAGCCGAGATTAAAAAGCGTTTTAAAACATGTAACAAAAACAAAATTTTGCCTTATGAATTTATTCATAGATAGGTGTGCCCCGCGGCCCTAAGAACTCGTTTTAGAAACGTTCGTGCGTTTCAGATGGAATTGGAATTTGAAAATTTCGGTTTTTGAGGAGAGGGGAAAACCGGAGTACCGGAAAACCGGAGAAAAATGTCTCGGAGAAAAGTAGAGACCTAACAATATAAACCAACAGTCATTACTAGCTCTTCATCAGCTTTTTCACGAGCTGGCGGAGCCCATGCAGTCACCGATGTCTCAAGACTCAAGACGACCACCTTTCTGCAATCGCAAGCAACGGTCTCTGGCTTGCATCCCGACAGATGTCCCGAAGCAACTGCCAAAAAACCTCTTTAGAAAGGCCATTTGCACGACGTGCATCTGATGTACTCGCAAAACGTTTTTTAATTTGTTTTGATAACATTTTTAATTTGTTCTGGGAACGTTCTATTTTATTGACATATTTTAATCTATTTACCCTCTTTCTCAAAATTGGTGTACATTGAACACCCCTAATCGCCAATAAATGTAACCTCTCCACAACGCTCAGTGTTCTCCTTCATCAAGCACATTTTTAAGTGAATGAAGCAACGCTACCGTTTTCGACGATGTAAACGATGTAAATGGATGATCACTTTTACACTCAAACAAAACAGCAACACAAAGGAGTTGTTTAGAACTTACCTCTGACAAATGCAGTACTCCAATACGATTAAGATTCCAAGAACTAATCTCATCGCTCGAGCAAGACTTGTTCCTCCCATGTTAACGCAAGTCATGTTTCTTGTTTTACGGTCGCTAAAACAGAAACAAATTGACAAATCTTCTATTATTATAGTAAAAATAAAATTCAGACAAGGAATTC